CCCCCATCAGGGAAACAATCGGACAAACCCTTGGTGCTGTTCTCAAACATGTACCTTCCGAATCGGTTTACGACATCTATCGAATCCTGTACCGGATGGTAATGCATGAAGATCTTAAATTGGACTCTCCGATCTGGGCTGTTTGCCATGGTGGCATGATTGGCCTGAGATATGTTGTTGCTGTCAGGAAAGACTTGCTGCTTCAAGATGGGGATATGATTGACGGTGTTATCAAAGCTGTGATGAAGGGCCTAGGTGACAATGACGACGATGTTCGCTCAGTCAGTGCCGCCACCCTGATACCTATGGCTCAAGAATTTGTCACGATGCGGCCGGCAGCCCTCGATGGCCTCACTAATATTGTATGGGAGAGCCTGTCTAACTTGGGTGACGATTTGAGCGCTAGCACTGGTCGTATCATGGACCTTCTTGCTACTCTTTGTGGCTTCCCTCAAGTTCTCGAATCGATGAAATCTTCTGCTGCTCAAGATGAAGAGCGATCTTTTACTTTGCTGGTTCCGCGCCTCTATCCATTTTTACGCCACACCATCACGTCTGTTCGGCTTGCTGTACTGAAAGCTCTTCTAACTTTTGCCAACCTTGGCGATGAGACATCACAAGGCTGGCTCAACGGTAGAATTCTCCGCCTCATCTTTCAAAATATCCTCGTTGAGAGAGACAAGGAAACCCTTGATATGTCCCTGCAGCTCTGGGGTGCTCTTGTCCGCACATTAGCAAAGAACCCCGCCATCCTTGCCGACGAATTTGCTCCTCACATTGATAATTTGATGCAGTTGACGCTGCATCCAATTGGTGTATCACGGCATCCGATTCCCATGCATGCCGGCCTATTCCAGAAGCCGTCCGGTGGTACCTACTCCGCCTCAGGGCCGATGCAACCTGGTGGGAGACGGCTTTCCTCGCCCGATGGCCTGGAACGACCGGTAAAACGTCGCCGTAAATCTACTAGGGTCGAAGAGTCCACTCCTGCCGGCCTGACACATGATGTAGATGGCCATATGATGCAGGGCGACGTTGATCTCGTTGGTCTAGATGTGCTGATTCGGTCAAGAGTCTCGGCTGCTCAGGCCATGGGCCTCGTCATGTCCCTGGTCCCTTCAGGAAACCTTGACGATTACGATGCCCTGCTTGTACCGGGCCTTACTTCCGCCTTCTCCTCCACACAGCTAACTGCTTGTCTTGTCATTGACGAATTTGCGAGAAATTGCCAAACAGCCGAAGATCCTGGCCGCTATGTGGACCATTTGCAGCGGATTGTGGAATCAGATCGCCCTTCGGCCTACAGAGATTTGGTGACCTTTGTGCAGAGAACAAGGAGCCTTTGCCAGCAACTGCTCCATCTATTCCGTGACCATGGCAAAGTCTCTCATAGCAAGCTGCCTACTCTCCCTGTCGTGGTTCAAGGCGAAGCTGAAGCTGGTCCCAGCGCTTTTTCCATTGCGACTGCGGAAAAATGCGTGGGTGAGGACTTTGAGAGGCTCAAGAAGCTCATGCCCCCTGGTCAACGGCTGATTGCTGGTCAGCAGCTAGCTGACGCTCGTGACAACACGGTATCAGCTATAGAAGAAGCCAAGGCGTTCAAGGAGGCCCGCGACATTAGGATCAAGGCTGGCGCCGCTTGTGCCATGGTCGCAATGAAGCTCTTGCCGAAGAAGCCCAGTCCCCTCATCAAGGGCATCATGGATTCCATCAAGACCGAAGAGAATCATCAGCTCCAGAGCCGCTCCTCAGAAGCCATTGCAAAACTTGTTCAACTATTTGCAGAAAAGGGAAGGCGTGGCCCTGCGGACAAAGTTGTCGCCAACCTTGTCAAATTTTCCTGCGTGGAAGTGGCTGAAACTCCCGAGTTCCCCGTTCATGCCGCCAAAACTAACTGCATTCTCTCTATGCAGAAAGAAGAAGACCGTGTTGATCATCCAGATGCTGCTAAGTGGGCTAGGGAAGCTAAGGCTGCTAGGATCACGCGCAGAGGTGCAAAGGAAGCCTTGGAGATACTGTCCAAGACGTACGGCGCAACCTTGTTCGACTCTGTGCCAAGTTTGAAGGGCTTTATGAAGGATGCGCTAGTCAAGGCCTTCACAGCAGACTTACCTCCAGAAGCTCGGGATCCTGAGCTGGCATTCGGCCAGGAGATTGTCGACGCAATGTCAGTTATTCGGACTATGACGCCTACCTTGGATAAGAGCCTCCACCCATTTGTTATGGAGATGATGCCTCTTGTTATCAAAGCTTTGCATTCTGACCTCTCGGTTTTCCGCTATATGGCCGCTAAGTGTCTGGCTACTATATGCAGTGTCATCACCGTGGACGGAATGACGGCGTTGGTAGAAAAGGTCTTGCCGTCAATCAGCAATCCCCTAGATCTCAATTTCCGCCAAGGCGTAATTGAAGCCATCTACCATCTAATTGCCGTCATGGGCGACGCGATCCTTCCCTATGTCATCTTCTTGATCGTACCTGTTCTTGGTCGAATGAGCGATTCTGACAATGAAATTCGTCTCATCGCGACCACGTCTTTCGCTACACTAGTCAAGCTGGTGCCCCTCGAAGCTGGAATCCCCGATCCGCCCGGCCTGTCTGAAGAGCTTCTGAAAGGTCGAGACCGAGAACGAACGTTCATCGCCCAGCTTCTCGATCCCAAGAAAGTCGAGCCGTTCCAGATCCCCGTGGCTATCAAGGCAGAACTTCGTTCATACCAACAAGACGGTGTTAACTGGCTCAACTTCCTCAATAAATATCACCTCCATGGCATTCTTTGCGATGACATGGGCCTTGGAAAAACTCTACAGACCATCTGTATCGTGGCCAGTGATCATCATCAGCGGCAAGAGGAGTTTGCAAAAACGCAAGCCCCTGATGTGAGGCGGCTGCCATCTCTAATTGTTTGCCCTCCAACACTGTCAGGTCACTGGCAACAAGAGATCAAGACGTATGCTCCCTTCCTTAGTGTTACTGCGTATGTTGGGCCCCCAGTAGAGCGCAAAGCCATGAAAGATAAACTTGGCGACACCGATATTGTTATTACATCTTACGATGTCACCAGGAATGACTCCGAAATTCTGGAGAAGTACAACTGGAATTACGTTGTCCTGGACGAGGGCCACTTAATCAAGAATCCCAAAGCCAAGATCACCCAGGCTGTGAAGAGGCTGGCCAGTAACCACCGACTCATCCTTACGGGCACGCCAATCCAAAATAACGTCTTGGAACTCTGGTCCTTGTTTGACTTCCTTATGCCAGGATTCCTCGGAGCCGAAAAAGTGTTTTTGGATCGATTCGCGAAGCCTATCGCAGCAAGTCGATATAGTAAAGCGTCTTCCAAGGAGCAGGAGGCTGGAGCTTTGGCTATTGAAGCTCTGCACAAGCAGGTGCTTCCTTTCTTGCTGCGTCGCCTCAAGGAAGAGGTGTTGAACGACCTACCCCCCAAGATTCTACAGAACTACTACTGCGATCTCAGCGACCTACAAAAGAAGCTATTCGAAGACTTTACCAAGAAGCAGGGCAAGAAGATCCAAGCGGAGGCTGGCCGAGAGGACAAGGAGGCCAAGCAGCATATCTTCCAAGCTCTGCAATATATGAGAAAACTGTGCAACTCGCCTGCCATGGTTATGAAACCAGGAAGCGATCTCTATAACGACACACAAAAGATTCTTCAGAAACAGGGAACATCTATCGAAGATGCTCATCATGCACCTAAGCTCACGGCCCTCAAAGATCTCTTGATTGATTGTGGTATTGGCGACGATAGGGATGATTCTAACGACCCACTATATCAGCCCATCAAACCTCATCGCGCTCTCATTTTCTGCCAAATGAAGGAAATGTTAGACATGGTCCAGACCAAAGTTCTAAAAGAAATGCTGCCCTCCGTATCCTATCTGAGACTTGATGGATCGGTGGAGGCGAACAAGAGACAAGATATCGTCAACAAGTTCAACAGCGACCCTTCATACGATGTGCTCTTGCTGACCACCAGCGTTGGTGGTCTTGGATTGAACCTTACGGGTGCAGATACCGTCATTTTCGTGGAACACGACTGGAATCCACAGAAAGATTTGCAAGCCATGGACCGCGCTCACCGAATCGGCCAGAAGAAGGTGGTCAATGTCTATCGTCTCATCACTCGTGGCACATTGGAAGAGAAGATCCTCAGCCTCCAACGCTTCAAGATTGATGTGGCATCTACAGTGGTGAATCAGCAGAATGCCGGCTTGGCGACGATGGACACAGATCAAATCCTTGACCTGTTCAATTTGGGCGATACGGGACCAAGTCTCATATCCGATAAGCCGCAGAATGGCATCGATGGAAGGGAGGAGGACATGGTTGATATCGAAACTGGTGACGTTCTACGGCAGCCGGGCAAAAAAGCGTGGCTGGACGATTTGGGAGAATTGTGGGATAACAAGCAGTATGAAGAGAGTTTCGACTTGGATGATTTCATGAAGACAATGTCATGAACGAATTGCAAATAATATATAGGAGCTGGCTCTTAAAGACGTGGAAGGGAACGATAAAAAAAAAAGGAGAAGTTAAAACAGTGACCACATATAAAATTCTAATTTTACCTTGCTACGGCCTCTTTGGCCTCTTTCCACCCTGGTACTTGTTATATCTCAACACTCTTAAGTAACTTTCTCCTAGGCTGTACTATAGTAGACGGATTATTTTGATAAATCAAAAATAAGCGATGACAAGGCGTGTATATTTGATGCGATTTTCTATTTGGAGAAAAAAAAAGAAAAAAGAAAAGAAAAAAGAAAAGAAAAAAGAAATATATGATGTAAAAGCTAAAACGATTTAGGCGACTGTTGATTAAGCCATGGTATCGTTTGAAGGTGAGTCTCCGGAGACTGAAGGACATTAGGGGACGACGCGCTGTATATGCTCCCCTGGCTTTATAAACCATGCCTAGGTGGGCAGAAATCTGACCCCGCCAAAGCTTCGGTGAACTTCTATCGACAAGAAATGGCCCCACCTTGGCATCCTCTCTTCTGTTCCAGGACCTAAGGGAAAGCTTGGAAATCTGTTCTTACAAGTCGAGAAGAAAATCCATCGGTGCCTGAAATCCTACTGGTGATACAGTAGCTACGCAGTCTATTTTCCTATCCCTTCTTGTGGTACATCCTGCTTGCTAAGCCATACAACGAGCTCTCGGCAGCTCCAAGAGCAGCCCACCATGCCTATTGATTACAGCAGATTCGTATGAAGTCATTGGATGATGTCCTTATTAGGCCGCAGATTTTACTGACCAGCGGCTTTTCTTCACAGGATGCGATTGAAGTGAGCGACGATTCTGATATCGAGGTCCACCCCAACGTCGACAAGCGATCTTTCATCCGAGCGAAGCAGAATCAGATCCACCAAGAGCGCCAGCAGAGAAAGAACCGCATCACAGCCCTTAAGTATGAGCGGGTGATCAACAGCGCTTTGCTGGGCCGGGTGGTCTCTCTCTTGGACAATCTGAAGGCCCATGCCTCTGAAGCTGCTACAGGGAACCAGGCCCAGATTGCCTTCAAGGCCGTACTGACCAGTGCTGGCGATCCCAAGGACGACCAGCCGCCGCCGCGACCAGAGGGGGTTTTCAGCGATGACCAGCCCATGCCGACATACTCGAAAATGCTGATGCAGCTATTGGACCAAGTGAACAAGACTCTTGATGAGAAGAAGGTCGAGGATCGGTACACGGGAATGCTTGAAGAGATGCAAGTGCACGTGGATAAGATTAAGGAGCTACAGAAAGAACAAGCGGCTGAGCTGGAGAAGCTTGAGAAAGAGGAAGGGAAAAAGATTACGAGCGACAGCATTCACGACGGATTCAACAGCTCATATGTGAATAAATCAGGCCCCTCGGTGAAGAAGGAAGATACCAAGGTGGAGCTGCTAAATCCCAACTTTTCTACATCTGCGTCGGCTTCAGGGGCGTCTTCAGCAGACAAGGTTGCGGTGGATGACGATGACGAAATTGAGGCATCACCAGCAGCCAAGAAATTCGGAGCAATCAGCGTCAATGACTATTCAGCTAGCTTAAAGTTCCTGGCTCAGAACCCGGAGATCTTGACGGAGCGGGAGACGGACGGATTGCTTGTGCTCGCATTTGACGCGGCCCTGGAGCGAAAGGACGACTTGTCTCGTCAGTACGTTCATCAGGCGTTGTTGCTTCAGTATTGCCGTGCGTTGGGCAAAGATGGAGTGGCACTCTTCTTCAAACGTATCACCACAAAGGGTCACCAGGCACAGGATGTCTTCTACAAGGACGTTCAGGATACATACATGAGGATTAAGAACCGGTCGCTAGAAATCATTGCTGAGCGTGCCAAGGAACCGGCAGAGGGTGTCGAGCAGATCCAGCTACATGCCATGGAGCCTGGCACCACCATTCAGATAAAGGTCCCTCCTGCCGATAGTGATGATGCGGATATCCAGGCTGCCCGAAAGATCTACGACAGCTTTGATCCCGAAATGAAAAAGGCACTCGAGTCAGGCGAATTGGACGAGGTCAACAAGGTTTTGGGGAACATGAAGATAGACGCGGCGGAGGAGCTGGTGGGTCTTTTTGGAGAGGTAAGTCAAGAAACTCATGTTTGGATGTTGGATAAGGCATTCTATTGATATAAAGACTATGATACTGACAATAGCTGTTCAATATAGGCCAATATCCTTAGTCTTGAAGAAGAATTGATTGATGCGACGACTGAAGAGGGACAACAGAGGCTTCGAGAAATGGAAGCAGCGGCGGCAGCTGAGAGAAAGGCAGAGGCAGAGGCAGAGGCGGATACAGAGTCAGTAGGGGATCCTGAGTAATAATGAACTACGCCGGCTTCAAGTTGAATGAGAGAAATGATGAAAGGAGAAGGAGAAGGAGAAGGAGAAAGAGAGAAGCGGTAGGAAGATGACGATGATACCAGCCACCAGAATGGGACTACGTGGGATCACACGATCAAGTTGGGGGGATTTGCGAGTTCTTTGGCAGATTCTTCATTGGGATTTTGTTTTGTATGAGAGACATAGGTAATCAAAGCATGTAATGGCAAAAAAAAAAAAAAAAAAAAAAAAAAAACTGTTCGACTGTATTCTTGTGAGGACGTGGTATCATTTAGAATGGTCTTGGATCGTGGACAAATTCGAGGCTATGAAATTGATACGAGGATAGAAGAATCTCCACTGAACGCGTGTCCTTGTAGGCACGGTGAAGCAGCTTGATATGCTCGTTATGAAGTGGCTTACTATTTGACGTAGCTTTGCATGATTGCCAAGAAGCCAAAATAGAGGTTTACAAAGGGGGGGGTTACGTATGCCTTGGAGGATACATCTCGACGTGGCTGAATTTGGAGAAATATTGAAGACGCAGGGCTTATCGATGAACAGCAATTTGGAGAATGGTGTCATGAGATCTCGGCATGGGAAGACCATGTCAAGACAAGTCAGATCGTTGGAAGAGCGGGAGGCTTATCGACGTGGTTGTTAGGCTACTCCCCCGCATCTGTCAGCCATCAATACGAGAGATATTCGCCCATGGTGGCTGAGCATGGCGATAATCGATGTCGTATAAGAGAGCACTGGGGGAACAAAAGCTTAAGACTTTGTAAGCCATGGGCCCATCTCCCCATATAAAGGAAAGAAACAAAAAAGGGCGAGGGAGTGACACAGAGGCGTGCTATAGTATTAGGTGTACGCATTAATGCAGTGGCCAATGTGGAACCCTTTTCTCTGTGTCTCTTTTCTCCAACGTTGCTGGTTTGAAGCGATGGAGCCTGATCAACGATAAGAGATAAAAATAGCACGGCCGATCACAGACAGGCACACAGACAGGCACACAGCCTCTCGTCACAGTTGGCGTTTCGTCTTACAGCATTCTTTTGTTATCTGGCGTATATCCAAAGTTTAGTTTCTGGAAGAGAGAATGGAATTGACAAGAGATGCATCGCTCTCTCGGCATTGCCCTTTCGGAAAGCAGCGGCAATGTGTAAAAAGGAGATGCCGGATACTAGTAGAAATAGTTCCGGTACTTTTTTACTCGGCCCGCACAGCTCATTACTCGAGGAGCCACTCTTTGTAACAGCAAATGTATCTTTTTTTTTTTTTTTTTTTTTTTGGGCCAACTGCTTGATGCGCCCCGTGCACGTTTTGGAGTTTGCATTGACAGAGTTGGAGTTGGGCGTTTTACTTTTGCGACTGAGCTGCAGGTTCCGGGATCCGAGCAGACGCAGGAATGTGTTGCGGAATACACGGGATGGATCTGCAAGCACCGCGATGAATTCAACGCAGCGATGCCTACAAGTACATACTTGTACAAAGCAAGTATTGCATTGCTTGACAAGGAAAAGAAAAGTCTTCCATGCCAAAGCGGGCGCAACATCATTTATTCAGGCAATCTATTACGTGAATATGGATCTCGCACGAAGTACTATTGCCTGTGCAGTGTTGCTACTTGCCATGTGGTAGGTGCTAGAGGTGCCCTTAATATGAAATGCATGGATGCTTGTAGCGGCTGGACGGTAGCCAAGTGGGGAGAGCACGAGGAACGGAGAATTTAGCAACTATCGGCACACAACTCGATGTTATGCGCACTATTGCTATACTAGGCAATACAAATGAGAATCATCTTGAATAGGTAGTTTTTCATTGTCTCTACAACCTTTGCTTTTCCTGCTTCCGCTGACCCTATTACTTGTTCTATGTACTACTATTGCTGCTTGGTTGCCTGTATATATTGGTATGTAACCCCGTGTACCAAATAGACGGCCGATGATTATAAAATACACACCTACTACCGGTAGTACTTATTTATAACGACTCTTTTTGCCGATCCAGTGCTCTTACTTTCCAACTGTGTGTGTATCTTCGCTCACCCCCCCTGATAGCACCACAAAGCTAGAGCCTCAGCTTTCGGATCTGCAGTTCTTCTAGTGCCCCTCTCCCTGGCTGGACTAAACCAGCGTTTGTGTCTTGCCGTTTCAGCGCAGCTCCACTGCTGACGTCTCAGAGGCGCAGTCTAAGCACTGCCAAAATGGCTGAGCAGGGATCATGCCACGGTGATTTACCTCGCTAGAGGGCTTGGCTCCATTAGGGGGCTCGTTTTCTCTCCGAGCCGCGATCTCGAGGCTGGGCGAGAGACTACTCTCTTCCTTTCCTCCATTTCTATTCTTCTCTTTTCTTCAATTATATCCTGAAGCTGAGCGGGGTTTTTTATTGGGATAGATCTGGTGACCAGAGTCTATTTTCTTTTCATCTTGATTTTTCTTCATAAATGATCCACTAGTGTTTCAAGCTTTACACTTTTTCCTATATCCCCTTTCTTGTTCCTTTCTCGTCTCTCTCTCTCTCTTTTATTGGAACCATTTATACTATCTGGGTGTATACTCCATACTTTCCTCCCCCAAAGAGGGTACATACATTATATCCACCTACTTATTTTATTTATTTTATACTACTCCCCTTTTATTCGTATACTCCATATCTCATTAAAGCCTATCAAAAAGCTTGACTCGAGGACTTAGCGTATGTACATGGGATAGTCCTTTTAAGTTGATCCATCCCCCAGAATTTGACAGCTAACCAGGGTTAACCAGCGGCGAAAGGAAAAGATATTCGAAGACTGAGGATAAGAAAAGGAAAAAAAAAGTTGAATATGCGCTTCTCAGTAGCCCGCCTCCTGGCCACTGCCTTGATTGGCACTGCCGGCGTTCAGGCAGTTTTCCCTCGGCCCGAAGCATCTGAGATCTCGTCAGCAGCAACGCCGTCATCGACTGCTTCTTCTGCTTCATCATCTTCATCAGTCTGCAACAACTCACCGGTGCTATGTGACCGCCATTACAACGACATCACCTACATGGGTGCCCATGACAGCGCCTTTCTCAGAGACGCCAGCACCGGCAACTCTGTCGCCGGCAACCAGTTCAAGAACGCCACATTCGCCCTCGATGCTGGACTTCGCTTCCTCCAGGCCCAGGTTCACAATGAGAACAACACACTTCGCCTGTGCCACACCTCGTGCAGTCTTTTGGATGCCGGCCCTCTGGAGACGTGGCTCGCGGCCATCAACGACTGGGTGGTTGGCCATCCCTCGGATGTCATTACTCTTTTGCTGGTGAACTCTGATGACGCAGACGTGTCCAAGTTTGCAGACGCTTTCGAGAAGTCGGGCATTGACAAGTTTGGATTCACTCCGACCTCCAAGACCGCGTGGCCTAGCCTGGCGCAAATGATTGCCAATGACACCCGAGTCGTGTCTTTCATCACCAACATCGATTCGTCTGCTGCCAGCCCACACCTCTTGCCCGAGTTCAACTACATCTTCGAGACTCCCTTTACCGTCCTCGAGCTTGACGGCTTCAACTGCACCGTCGACCGACCCTCTAATGCCGGCCCTGCTTCCAACGCATTCTCAAAGGGACTCATGGGCCTTGTCAACCACTTCAAAGACCAGGTAGTCACTGGATCCATCATCATCCCCGACACGACCAACATCAACCTCGTTAACAGCGCCGCCACCAACGCCACCGGAAACCTGGGCCTGCACATCCAGCAATGCAACCAGGAATGGAGCCACCGCCCCAGCTTCGTCCTTGTCGATTTCTGGGACCAGGGATCCACAGTCAAGGCCGCGGACAACAGCAACGGAATCAGCGATGCCACTGGCCGGACCAGTGTCGCCAGCAACTCGAGCGGCTCGTCTTCCGCAGACGGTGTGAGTTCGACGCGAGAGCTCGGAACGGGAGCTCTGATTGCCTTCTTTGCGGCGACACTGTTGATGATTTAAAGAGGCTGCTTTTTTTTTTTTCCCGTTCTCGACTCGTATTAGTTAAATATGAAAGAGAGAACGAAACTAGAAGCATTCGATTTTTTTTCTTCACAAAGCATACATATTCTGGCATTTTAGCGAGGCGTTTTTAAGGCAACCTAGACTGCGACATATGGGGTTTTAAGAAAAAAAAAAAAGAAAGGAAGGAAAAAGGAGGAAATAAACTTCGCTTTCTGGGGGTTTTTAAGATATAGTATTCAATCATTCACTACTAGATTTTGCATAGATATTGGTAATATTGCCAATCAATTAAACATTCTTTATTCTTTTTTTTAGGGGAAGATGCTTCATTTTGCAGACATTGATGTGACGTGGACTTTTACTTTTGCGCATTTTTTCCTCCGTGGTTTTATTTTTCTAGTTTCTGAATGCGGCTGAGATGAATTTCTCAAATAAATATTTTATTTTATGTTTTATTTTCTCACATATATATGTATGTGTTTAATTGCCACGAGATGCTTAAACATGTTGTTAAGCAAAATACTCGCAAAGATGCAAAGGCACGCATGGACTCGGCGTCTCATAAGCCCGCTAAAAAGCCAAACTCATCTAATAAGCATTTCACAACCCCTCTACTAAAAAAACATTTGACCTTTCGTCACAAAAACTCTCCAACACGCACATTTTCCAATTTCTCGCCTTCCTTCCCTCTGCTCATCGACATTCCTCTGAAAATCACGATCCACAGTCTCAAGCCATTGAATGTTCCGTCTCGCTCCCAGAACTTGCCGCGCCTCGAGGCATATAGTAGTATATCCACAATTTTCAACTCGCCGAGCCTTTGGAGCTACCGCTATTGCTATGGATTACGCCTCGATTCCAACACCAGCTTCGTGCTATGCCGACTTTTGCTTGATCCCGGTGCGGCTTTCTTTGTGTTTTCCATTTCTCCTTTCCATCTCATTAACAGGCTGTTTGGTTGGCGGGTTAGATTGGCACAAACACCGTCTCTGTGGCGGAGGAAATCGCCCAGGTTCAGCGGGTGCTCAAAGCAAGTGGTCTGAAATACACGATGCATTCTGCCGGAACAACTGTTGGTGAGTTTTAAACGCCCCGTTTTGACAATCCTTTTAACCAAATAAGAGCTAAACCGTCTTTACGCTTCTTCTTAGAGGGTAACTGGGAGGAGGTCATGACGGTGATTGGAAAGGCACACTCGGCAGTTCATGAAAAGGGTGTTGTGAGGGTTCAGTCCTCGATGAGGGTTGGATCAAGGTACGTTTTCTGTGTTAAACTCAAGAAAGATGGAAAAGAGAAGAACAAGAACATGAGTGAAGACACATGCTGATCATTCTGGAAAATAGGACGGATAAGAAGCAGACTGCAGAGGATAAGGTCAAGAGGGTCGAAGACTTGCTGGACGCAGACACTAAATGATGATGACAGTACAAGTTGAAAATGCCGATGCTGCTGTGCTAGCTGGTTATCTCATCCACGGCATCAATGAGAGAGCAATACGTGAATTACATTAAAATGTTTGAATTATTTAAGTACTTTTCCTTTTTGTCCTCCTGTGACTAGCTGAACCTTGGAGATCACTGCAACTTAGTCTGCCGGTGTCCAATCCTCAAATTCCATGGAGAAACAAGAAATAAAGAGAAAAAGATCCCAGTATTACATAGTATAGGCTACTTGTACATATTACGTCTTCCCACATTTTCCTATCCCTCTCGTCGTCATCCTAAACGCCACCATCGTGTCCGTCATGCTACACATACAACAAGTCTGTCGTGTTTAGCCTCGCATGGTCATCCTCTTCTGTGACCTGCGGAGCTCCTTCTCCTTCTCCTTCTCAAGGTACTTCTTCTGCTGCTTGGCGTCCAGGCCCTTGAGATCAGCATCTCGTTTGGCCTTCTTGGCCCTTTCCTTCTCGAGCTGGCGCTCCTCGTTCTTCTCTTCCTCAATTGCCTTCTTGAGCTGAGCAATCATGGACTCACGGGTAGCACGAACACGCTTGAGAACCTCGGGGCGGAAATGGGCATCCCTGACAAGAGCGTCGGGGATGCGAGTGAACTGCTCGAACAGAGGGATGAATTGGTCATAGTTGTTGTTAGACGGGAGTCGGTACTTGAGGAACACTCGCTTGCGAGGCGTGGTTTCTTCGAGACGAGTGGGCTTGTCAGCGGGCTGATCAGAGATGATGAGATAGTCAAACAGGTCGCCAGCCTTCTTAACGGCCTCAATCAGATCGGCAGTGAGGAAAGTGTCGGTAATCTCGGCGCTCTCGCTCATGACGGTCAGCCACTCGGGCAGCTTGGAGTGATCCTTGGTGGCAGTCAGGGAGACGTCGTATCGGTCATCACGCAGCTTCTGCATGCTGGACTTGTTGACAATAGCCCAGACAAAGCCGTCAAAGGTGCTCTTGCTGTCCTTGGGACGAGCCTCAACACCGCCAGCAGCAGGAGGGAGAGTGAGCTCTTCCTTGCCATCAAAAGGATAAATAGTTGCCTCCACGAAATCCTCGGGGCCGGCGAAAGTATCGGTGACCAGGGACAGTCCCAGCTCAATGTAGTTCAAGAAAGGGTTGAATCGCTTGGCAAGGGTGATCTTGACGTCCATAAAGGCAACATTCTGGCGGCCGGTCGCGTACGAGGCGAACTCGAAGAGCGACTTCTCCTTGATGAAGGAGTTGGCATCGAAGTCGGAGTCGAGCGTGGGCACGCCCCGGAAGCCGACGGACGCGAACTCGCTCTTCATGGTGGGGGCATGAGCCTTGACCCAAGCCCTGGCCTTGGAGCGGTTTGCGCGCATGCCAAACATGTGGAACAAGAAGATGATGGCGGCGATGACAAGGATGATGCCCTCGGGCTTGAACTCGGACAGAGAGTGGCGCTCATGGACGTTGTACCATTTCGTCCAGACGACCTCGCTGGTGGGCTGCGAGGTAGCTCCGGTCAGCGTCGCAGCCTCGGGGGCAGCTTCAGGGACGGGATCGGGAGCTCCAGCAAAGTCGGCAAAGTCTAGTTGTTAGAGGTCAGTTTGCCGTCTTTCCCTTGATATTCCTTTCTTGCCACCAATGCCGCAGCAGCTCCTCGAGTCCGGTTACAAAGCGCGAAGCAAGCAATTGAGCTGCTGAGCGGGGAAAAGAAAACTGCTTACCAGAGTCTGGCTTGCCGGCGGCGGCCTGCTCCGACTTTGCGCCTCCAAACATGTTCTTGAGAGCGTCGGCCATGGCTGATTGGGGCTCAATGGCTTGAGGTTGGAGGAGGGGGAGAGTCGAGAGAGTCGGGGCTGGAGTTGGCGATTCAGCCAGCGTGGAATCTTTTGCGGAGGTTCTCGAAGGCCGAGTGGGGCCCACGGCCATTGGCTTCTCTGCGCTTCGTTCTAGGCTCTGCTGGTTGTTCGCTAGGTAGCAAGTCCAGCTTGGCGGGCTTTACCAGTACGTGTACCCAGCAGGCTTATAGCATTGTGCCATCCTGGATGTAGATTTACTCAAATATGCCATTGGAGATGGCTTTTAGTTATTTGCTGCCATCTTGTACAATCTGGACTCTCTTGACATTTTATTTTCTTCTCGATGTAACCCCTGCTGCACATTTCCAGCCTAGCCCATGTACTCACCAAGAGCTTAGCTTCCCCAACGCCTAGCTCCTGCTAATTATCACCACATGCTAGCGTTGTTGCGCTGCAGGATAGGATCAGGCTAGATAGAGACTGCTGCCAGCATAGTCGTTATGGACTGTGATATCAGTATTATCTGTTCCATATATATAGATAGTATATCCAATTAGACAAAGCCCTTCTATGTGAACACATATGACGTTGAGTCCTACGGATGCTGCCGGCTGACTAACACAAGACCCTTAGCCGCTGTTGCCTAGCCAACGCCGAGAGTCGGTAATCTTCAAGCCCAACTTCAGCGCTGGAATCCATGGGTTCAAACAGTAGCCTTTACTCGGGTGAGAACGGCACTATAGAAAAGCAATGAACAAAAATGCGTCGCACAGCGGTAGCCCGTCAATATGGAAAGCAATCCAAGAAGTCCAATGCGGAAAGGATGTTTGCAGAGTTGGTCCAGACCCCTGTCCGAGAACCACCCAGCTCGCAAATTGCAAAGCAAGATGCAAAGCCAATTGACGAACAAATCGTCCCCCTCACCACAAGTTTTTCCGAAATCTCAATCTTAGAGAGCCCCGAGAAACCAAGGAGTCGGAAAAAAGCAGCACAAGAAGATGTGTCGGTTGTGGTGGGCGAGCCTAGAGTTTGTGATACTGGAAAGCCAAAGAGAAGGTCTGCCAAAGGTGCCAAGCCAATTGCTATTGAAGAAGACATTTCAGAAGAGACTATTCAAGTTTCAGAAGATGAAACCGTCATAAATCTGAAAGAAGAACGCCAACGCGGGAAGCCGCGGACACGCGAGACCGTATCGAAAATCAGGACAAAAGACCCTGTTCCTTCGATAGCGCAGGAGCCAGCCTTGAGAGTTCTCACTTGGGGCGATGTCTGCCCTCCTGGAGACCAGATTACCAAGATTGCCGAAGCTTCATCCGCAGAGGTTTACCGCATCACCAACAAACGAGGCACGAGCATCATCAAGGCCATACGACTGCCTTCACCAATCAAAGCCCTGACAAAGGCGCAGGTAGCATCCGGCCTCATTGATGAAGAGCCCCATTCAGAGATCGATGTCAACAATGAGCTACAAATATCCGAATGGCTGGCCGACATTCCGGGATTCGCTGTTTATAAAGAACGATACATTGTAAAAGGGAGAACGACAAGCGAGCTTCTGGAAACGCATCAAACGGTGCAGAAGAGGATGAAGAGAGAAGATCCCGGCAGAGCACAATATTATCCATCACCGAGCCGGTATCTAGATGACACAGCCTTCTTAGTTGTGGAACTAGGAGATGCAGGGAAGTCACTGGAAAACTGGGAATTGGACAGCGTGGATCAATTGTGGGACATTTTCCTCTTGGAAGCGATTGCACTAGCAAGAGCTGAAGAAGTCGCCATGTTTGAGGTAAGATGTTTTTTTCTCTCTCTTCCTGTTGCTTCAATTCTTTCAACCTCAATCGCCGTATAATGCTGACTCATGGTAGCATCGCGACTTACATGAGGGTAATCTCTGCATCAAGCAAGCCCGCCCTCCTCGGCAGAGGGATCCTAAAGTAGATGGCTTCTTTGGCTATTCTGGCTTAGACATCACAATCTTAGACTATGGGCTCTCACGAGCTGAAGACCTGACAAACGATGATGCCGCGCCCATCGTCTACGACCTGGAGAGGGATCTCAGCCTATTCACTGGCACTTACAACCCGCAGTGCAAAGTCTATAGGCAAATGCGGTCTTTCTTACTCCGTGCTGACCGAAACTGGATGCCACCCGAAGCCCACAATATCCCTTATGCCAAAGGTATTGACGGGCCGCTTTCTTGGGACGCATATGTGCCTTACACGAATGTGCTCTGGCTGGCTTATACGTACGAGTACCTGGTGGAGCATTTTGAAGGTAACAAGAGAGAACTCACAAAGTTCAAGAAAGAGACGGCAGAGCTGTGGAAGTATTTGAACCCGGACGCCCCTAAGAATGTGCCTGCTTTCGGGTGCGCGGCTGATGTAGCGTGCTTTGCATTGGAGTCTGGCTGGATCCGGGAAGACCAGCTTTTAGGAGCATCGACCACTCTGCTAGAGAGAGAGGACAGCATCATTGTCTCAAGGAGTTCAGAGGACGTTGAAGCGTCGCTGCGGAGATCAAGAAGAACGCGTAGGTCGTGAAAGCCGTTTTGAATTATTGGAGGAGTAGCATCATACAATATGGGGGCTTATATGTACACTAAAGGCGTCTTTCTTTTGGTTCTTGGTTTTGGCTATATATATGGAGGCAGGTTCATGATACTACGAAGCTTACGAGGATAATATTGAAGATTCATACTCATAGGATAATGCTGATACAAGCTCGTATTAAGATGCAGCACTAGTATTGAGTTGGTTGTATTATCCAGAGGAGCAATTCACATGTCGTGTTGTTGCCTCGTCCCCGCATGGTGATACTCAAGACACGCCATCCACGGACTCCGACTGGGACATGCAATCCCGTCACGCGGGTGGCACTTTAAAATGAATGGCTGCACGATGCATATCGCCTGTTTCTCGAAACAGCTCTTCATCTCCGGAATTAGACGGCGGATCCCTGCTAGAGGAGATCAGATGTTGGCCTGCGATGTAGATCGGGTAGCGGAGGTTAGTGTGGTACCTGACTCTCCATACAAAACGCCGTGGGCGGCCAGGTAGCGGATAGCAGCTGCCACTGCCAGCTGGCCTCGGCTGACCTGCGCAGCTTCGGTGGAGCCGACGGTGCTCTCCTTCTGGCGGTGCCGAGGCTAAAACGCCTGGGCCTGCCACTGGCTGGGAAAAGCTGGTCTGCCCACCGTCAGCCAAACCGCAAGTGGCTGGCATGCAAGCCCTTTGGCCAGCGTCGCGACAGAAACAAGAGGCCGTCCCAGCTGAATCATCACCGGCCGCCGTCTCCTTTCTTCCCTGGCCCTCTTCTTTATTGATAAAGCCAGCCTCTCGAATTCTTCTTCGCGCGAGGCCTGCATGACACATGGGCATAAGGCTGCATCGACCCCGGTGACCGCTGACTGCTGCTGCTGCTCCTTGTTTACCTCCAATTGGCGAATCTATCCACCCTGAGTGCCGTCGCCAACACCGCCATCTCCACTACTTTGCCCGGCTCATCGCGTTGCTGCTGAAGTGCTCGCAGCACACTTTCCACCATGGCGTACGGAGGCTCTTACAACGCCTCGTTCAACCCGGCAATGTCGAGTAGCGAGTCTTTTGGAAATGGCCTCCTCGCCTCGTCTATTTCCTCCCTGTCGTCGTCCGGATCCAAACGCTATTCGCCCGTGTCCAAGACGTACCGACAAGCTTCAACGCTCTTCTTGACGCGTCGACTGCCCGAGGCCCTCAGCACGCTGCGCCCCATCATCACTCCTCCCAGCTCTGCTGACGATGGCGAGCCAGCTCCCGTAACCAAGTCTTCGCGAGGGACTAGGATCAAAGTCTGGAGTCTATATTTGACACTCCTGAACGCAATTGTCGAGCTGGAGCCTGAAGAAGGCAAGGATGCCTTTGGCAACCAGGAATGGAGAGCGCTGTGCACCAAAGTGCGAGACGGTTCCATCTGGGAGGAAGTCGTCCGGAATGGATATCACGGTCTAGAAGGAGATGTTGACGCTGACGTCGTGATAAACCTGTGAGTTTGTTCCAACCCCCATAATTCAAGAGAGACCACTAACCAGAGCGGTTACAGGGCGACGCTGCTACTTGCGCATGCGCGCGACCAGACTCTTAATCAGAAGATGCTGGAAAACTACCTAGCCTCATCGAACATTCCCAATCTTGATCTGAATGATTTTGCAAAGCCATCGAACCGTTACCAGTCCCCCGCCAGGAGAGCCAACGGCGCCAACACTCCCGGAGACCTAAATTCACGAGTGAAGCTTCTAGAACTCTATACTCTCCACGTTCTTCCCCAGAACAACGAGTGGGACTATGCTCGCGAATTCATTGACGTGAGCGCTGTCCTCGACGAGGAACGCAGAGAAGCCTTCCAGCAAGCTCTGCAGAGCCTACAAGAGGAGCAAGAGGAACAGGAGCGAAAAGACCGGGAAGAGCTAAAGCGGCAAGAGGAGCAACTGCAGAAAGATATTGCCGAGGCAAAGCGGCTAAAGGCTGAGAATGAAGAGAAGGAACGGAAACGACTTGAACAAGAACGACAAAGCCGGGAGACCAGCGAGGGTGACTACGGTATCGAGCAGACTCCCAGCTTTAGCGGAGTAGGAAAAGCCGAGCCCCCCGGATCACCCCAGAACAGCGTCGCGCGTCCTCCACGTCCGACTGGGAAATCGCGATCAAAAGCCGGCGCATCTTCAGCGGCGGCAGGGCCCCTAACCATCACAGCCCGAGCCACTTTGATCTTATCCCGCTTTCGACAGCTATTTGAGACTCTTGCGAGCTCCATCACGGGCAATCCTGCGGTACTAATGAGGGTGATGGTTTTCACCATGGGCCTACTCATCATGCTCGGCCACAAAGCTACGCGGCAGCGAGTAGAGCAAATGGTGAGGACATCATGGGCAAAAGTTGCAGCAACAGTGGGAATGGGAACTAAAGTGAGCTACATTTAAAGGAGCATGGATGCTGGGATTGTACACCAAACTTATACATAATTTTTCCTTTGTATTATTTTTTTTATCTTCTCTGCATGAGATGGAGTTTTAGTCTTGGATAGCTTGATTAGCTGTACCGTGTACCTATGTCCTGGCGGACACGATAATTATGATGAATATGCCTTTAGCTTTTCTAGCTTTCAGTCTATAAAAACATGCGAGATTTGAGTCATGCTGCTGAAGGCCGTGGCCACACATATTTATCTAGATGAGAAGTCCCCAAGTAAACAAGGTGCCAATGATGCCGAATAACCAAAGCGCCGCCAAACTCCAATCCAGACACATAATTAAAATTTGACAAGTATGAATTTTATAATTTTTTTTCCCCCTCAATATACTATCCTGCCCAAACCCGGGCCACTGCTTGGCTAGTAATTTGCTTGCCGATTCGTTTTCTTTTGGTAGAATAACTGTATGTGAGAAGAAAGGTTAGCATATGCATGTACTGCTTTGGAAGGGCAACGAGAGAGGCAGCGAAACATACGTCTGTTCTTGAACTGCCGAGGTTTATAATCTTGGGGCATCCATCGCGATCCTTCTCTAGGCGGGTGCACTCGTAGCAGTAAAAGGCATCCGAGATGCCCTCACCGCCGCAGACGACGCACTTGTTCTGGTAGTTGCCAAAGCTGCACTCGTCGCAGATACGGACAAGAGTCGTAGGTCGAACGTAAGAATCGCAGACGGGGCATTTGCCGTCGCATTTATCGCAGAGACGGCCGATGGCAATGCCGGATTGCTTGCGGCACATGACGAGATCGCTGGAGAGAGAAGTTAGCAAGATGTCTTTCTTGTCTGAAGCATGGCGACGCGGGAATGAACTTACGGGTGATGGCGAGACATGGCAGGCGAGAGGAGTTTGTGATGCCCTGGATGTTGTTGGGTGGAGGATGAGACGGTGATGGAAGAGGAAAAAGGGCAGAGACAGTCTTAATATGCTGCAGATCCAAGGTCTCGGAGGCTAGAGCTGCAAGGGCAAAGTCGTGTGGATTTCTCATCAGCCTTGCAGTGACGTTGGATGGAATCAATGGGTGGAAGAAGGAATTAAGCCAATCATGTGCTAGAACGTTTTACAGTGGGGGCGAAGTGCCCCAAGCAGGTCCGCGACTTCTTACTCAGCCTCGACCTTTTGACAGCCTAGCTCAAGCCAATCATTCTGCGCAAGCTCTAGCTTCAAGCCCGTTTCAATATCATGTCGCTGTAACAAGTTCATTTTGATGAGGTGAATTGCACTGGGATGACAATGGCTACAATCGGGGAGGCGGAAAAGTAAGTATGCACATTCCTCTTTGCCGCAAGCTTGAAACCTGACCGATGGGACCTTTTCTTATAGTGCGGCGGCAGCAGGACTGCCACGACCAGCTGATGAAGACCGCCCAGCGCCAGAGAACAACGAAGATGCATCCCTCAAAAGAAAAGCTGAAGACGAGAGACCCGAGGATGATTCTACAAAGCGCGCGAAGCACGATAACGACGACCATGACAATGTCACAGCTTCGAAACGGCCATCATTGCCTGGCCATGACCGCGACGACGGCGAGCAAGTCACATCAGCCACAGCCCAAGACCGACGCAAACTGGTGATGCAGGAGGAAAAGAAGCGGGGGAAGCGGTTGTTTGGCGGCTTGATGAGTACCTTGAGCCAGACATCTAACACGTCTCAGCAGCAGAAGCGCCGCCAGGAAATTGAGCGCCGCCAGCAAGAACGGATGCAGAAGCAGAGAGTTGAAGATGATCAGAAGAGAAGCGAGAAGCTGGAGAAGCTGTACCAGATCCGCATGGCGGAACAGATTGTGTTTGACGAAGAAGTGGTAAGAGCTGCGCGCGCCCTGGCATGGGAGGAATAGAATGATGTTTGAATGGAGAAGATGGTGTGCTGATTCTGGATCTTTACAGATGAAGAACAAGCACGAGAAACGCTTAGCTATGGCGAGATTCCTACGGACTAGGTCGGAACCCGCGATTGTAAGTACCGTCCGGCTTAATGGTCAAGCCTATGCTAATGGACATGCAGTTCTATCTACCATGGAAAGTCACGTCGGATCAAAGAGATACCATCGACGATCAGATCCAGAGGGCGAAAGCCTCAATAGAGAAGGAAGTTGAGCAATTCAAGGCTCGGAAACAGCGGCATATTGAGCGGTATGGTCCCCCAACGAGGCAAAGAAGCGTGACCCCTGATGAACCTGCTGCTGCTGCTCCTGCTACTGCTACGGGAGCGCCCGAACGCGAGAGCCCTGTCCGGAGCCCGCATCACAGTGTCGACAAGTCTCATCTACAAGAGCGAAGAGTGTCTCAAGACATACACAAGGGGCATCACGACGAATCTGGTGATGACCTCGAGGAGGCTGAGGAGGACATGGTGATTTACTGACCGATTTTTACGAAATGATTCCCCCATTTTTTTTTTTTTTTTTTTTCAAACTACTGGAGACCAAGTGACATCTATTTCCTTATAACGCGGCTTTTATTTTATTGCATTGTGGGCATTCTTATTCATCAGCCTACCTAACTATGCCGGAGCATTTGTAGTTTGTCGCTATGGGGAGCTGCAGTTATGTACTGTAGGTAGTTCCAAGCAAGAGCACGAGAAGGAAGGGAAGTTCTATATGAGAAATGAAGCTTGAACATTGCAATCGTCCCGCATTTACGTGGAGGTGGCTTGAGCGTTGACAGAGCCACACGCTTAAACCGGGGGAATGCATTTGATACTAACCCATGGCTGTGGAGCTACATAGCGATCATCATCATCAGGTGCAGGCATCGCAACGAGCAATATTGCGCAAAATTACCAGGTATTAGGCGGCAATGAACTTCCTCGGCATGTTTCTGCAGGGAGCACGGAGCATATAACCTGTTGCAACAATGCCCCACAGCAGCTGATGAGCGCCGGCCGAGGCCCGTAGTGGGGATGGAATACGGAGAACAACGCTGTGCCTCTTATTAGTGACACGAACAATGCTGTGACAATCACAGCATTTCTTGCTCCTTTTCGATTGCTTGAAACTAGCCAAGACAAGGATTTGTCATTAAACCTAAAATTAACTTGTTTTACGCTTTTTCCCCAAGCCTGGAGGCGTTGCTGGCGGTCTTTCGTGGTACTGGAGCCCCTCACTACTACCTCGCTAGAGAAGTCCGTCCATCCGTCTGTAGGGCCAATTGGCTGTTATGCTACTTGAATGAACAGACATCTCTTCAACATCTTGTTTTCACTCTAACACACCATTCTTTATTGTGGCTCACCTCGTTTTTTAAGGCACTGGAAAATCCACAAGATGGATACCAGCAAATTGAAGCCAAACGACCCTCGGGTCAAGTACGAGACCAAGCAGGTCCGTGGCAAGACATATTCTTATATTCTTGGCGAGCCGCAAGGCCCCAAGGTCGACACAATCTTTCTTATTCATGGCTGGCCGGATATGGCCTTTGGGTGGCGCTGCCAGATCCCTTACTTGATGTCGCTGGGCTTCCAGGTCGTGGCCCCCAACATGGTTGGCTATGCCGGCACCGATGCCCCTCAAGACATCAAGGAATACTCATTCCAGAGCGTTTGCGCAGACATTGTTGCGCTGGCTCGCGAGTTTGTCGGCGAAAAGGGCCAGATCGTTCTTGGTGGCCATGATTGGGGCGGTGCCATCATCTGGCGAGTCGCCTACTACTATCCCGAGCTGATCAAGGCCGTCTTCTCCGTCTGCACTCCTCTAAATCCTATAAACACAAAAAGAGTTCGCCTTGAGGACATCATCGCTGCGGGTGGCCTGCCCAATTTCAAGTACCAGCTGCAGCTCGGGGGCCCGGACGTCCAGGCCCGCATCCAAGGCAAAGACATGCTCCGCAAGTTCTTCCTCGCTCTATTCGGCGCTCGGGGCCCCAACGGCGAAACGGGCTTCAATACGAGCGAAGGCGTCCTTTTCGATAACCTGGATAAGCTGAGGCCGCCTATGCTGCTGGACGAGCAGGAGCTGGAGTACTACATCGAGCAGTATTCGCTGCATGGGCCGCCGGAGATGCGAGGCCCGCTGAACTGGTACCGAACGCGGGAGATTAACTCGGAGCAGGAGGCCGAGTATGCGAAGACTGGGCGTCCGATGAAGTATGAGATGCCGGCGCTCTTCATCTCGGCGAGCAGGGATAGTGCTTTGCCGCCGTCCATGTCCAAGGGCATGGATGCGTTTTATACCGATCTTACGAGGTCGGAGGTGAATGCTTCGCATTGGGCTTTGGTGGAGGCTGGGCATGAGGTGAATCGGCAAATTGCACAGTGGTTGAATAAAGCACTGGGTGGTGCACCTCGGTCTGTGCTTTAGACTAGATTATGAGATATTGAATGAAGTATGAATGAGTGAATAATGATAGCACGAGCTCTTAGGTCATAAATTTTTGAGGCGTTGCTTTACTTTTTTACTTGAGGATGAAAATTTATAGCTTGGAGTATACATAGTTCATGAATTACTCATATTAATCCTATGTCTGACTAAGAATGTATAATTGCCTAGTCAGCTACAGGTCTCTTCAAGTCGGCGTTACTCTCGTTGTCAATAAGCCCAGGCTCAGTACTCCTTTACTGCTAGAGATCTGCTCTCTGCTAGAGACTATTTCAGATTGATGCAGGTGACCTGAACCTCATGTGCGTGGACAATGCTGCATCAAAACGGGGTATGCTGCCTCATGATGTGATGTAATGTAGATACACACAAGTACTCAATAAGTTGTGCTCACCGCTCTTCCAATGACATTCGTATGTTTGGCGTGCTGATTTATGTGTCGAATAAAATGATGGCTTCCTTGCCATATACAAGCATGGCGATGTCATTTATTTCAGCGTGTTTTTATACGCATCAATGGTTGGAGCCTTGGGATTGGATTTTTTGTTTGGTTTCCCACACATGGGACAAGCTGTAATGATCGTGAGCCTAAGGAGCCTAACGAAGGATAAAGAAAAGGCAAACAAGATCAATGTACTCACAGTCAGTCTTGAAGGCGCATTTTTGGCAATAAGAGTGGCCTTGTGTGATTTTGGTTTTACACTTCGTACATGAGCTATGGAGGTGGAGGCCGTTAGCTACTATCAAATGTAGATGAAGTGTAATACTCTACTACCATTTAGCAAACAAGAAAAAAAAAAATACATACCTCGAATACGCCGCATATGGATTCTTCGCTGCTTTGGATAGCAGCTTACTCTGAGGAAACCTGTTAATACCATCCTTTGATGAGAAGAGAACTGGATGTTGGCCCTTTATACCTTTGATACTCCGGTGTTGCCCAGGGTGGCTGACTTAGAGCCGCTCGCCTTTGAAGAAGCCGGTGATCCGTAGTACATTTCACTCTTTTTCTTGACCTCTGGGGTCGCGAGCTTTGTGCTCTTGGTGAGCTTCAAGCACTTACTGCACACCATGGTTGTGTTGAGGGTGGTGTTCGTATCTGGTTCGTTTGAGCGCTATGCCGCAGGAGAGAGGTTATAAATTAGACTGAGCGAAGGAAAAGATGGTATTTCTATCCTTCAACAGTCTAGTTCAGCCTTACGTATTTGATATCGGAGGTTTGATGCTTGTGGCAAGGCTGAGATAGCAGTGGCGTACTACCGTTCTAAGCTCGTACCAGGTAGTACTCCGTATGGAAAATCGCCGATATACTGTTTGAATTCCAAGGGTGACGAAACTCGCCCGTTTCGACGCGTGTGTATTGCAAAGCTCTGGCATTCAGCAAAGTACCTCGCCGCTACAGCTGCGGTGGAGAGAGACTTGTCGCAAAGGGGACTCTCTCAGGGGAACCAGGCTGGACTGGAACGTGGGCCCAGGTTCTTGCGGCAGTGGAGCAGCAGCACGCAGACGCCTGTAGACGCTGTAATGGCAGCAGCTAACACGGCCCCCTTTCAGCATCAGCGCCTCGTATCGAATCCTGGGGAGGGGGTAGAGGGGAGCAAGTAAGAACCCAGTGCCGTTCCTGGACGCCCCGAAAAATCTTGCTGAGAGCTTAGATATCCGCGCTCGCTTGTTGCTATTATTACTTGCAATCCAATTCTTTTGCACCTCACTGCGCCTCTGTCTGCTGGTGCTGACGTACCAGCGCCCTGAGCCTCGACAAGCGTCCCACTATCCAGCACCAAAGGCCTGCGCCGAAACGAGGCTGTGCAGCCACACGGAACGGAACAGATCACCGGTCTGACGGAGCAGGCGCTATCGATATCGCGGGCCTTGTTTCGACCCGAGTTGCAAGTCCGCCAACCCAGAATCCGACATCACAGAACGACAAAGAGACAAAGCCGCCCGTGCTGGCTTTCTAACAACATCGATCCCGCATGCGTTGCTATCCCGCCATCCCGATCGCCTAACCCATCGCTTGTTGTCCTGCATGGCTGGACGACAACCTATGGGACGCCATGGCGGGCCCTCAAATAACGACGACCTTTTGCTTGACCTGGACAACGAGCAGCCGATCTACAGCGCAGGACAGCGGTCGGCCCTGAACGACGACGATCTTGCACGAGCCTATGACCTTGACCACGACCCGCAGAGCCGGCCCTCTGTGTCCTACGATGACTTTGTCGGAGCCGAGCCGTCATATCCACAAGCAGGTCGCTCCATGGGAGCGCAGGTGGCGCAACCATCAGGACACTCGGGGCCGTATCACTCTCAGCAATTCAGCCAATCATCAGACCTCGACAACTATCAGCGCTACGCCGACGACTTCGACGACTATCCTGAAGATGACATGTATTACCAGCAAGGAGGCACTGGGGATGCGGGGCAGTCCTCAGCTGCTAGAAACAATGCGATGGCCCGCAACAGCGTGCTGACTCTGGGAGGAGGGTTTTTCGGCAAGTTGAAGCATAGGCTTGGGATGGGCCAGGGCTATTCCGAGATGGATTTGCCCTTGACAGAGCCCGGGGCGAGGGGCCCGCCGCAACAACAGCAGCAGCAGGAACAACAGCCCAAGGGGAATATGATGAGCAACTTCAAGTTTGGCTTTGGCCGTGGCAAACCTGATCCTTCGACTATGGGACCAAGAATTATTCATCTTAACAACCCTCCCGCGAATGCCGCTAACAAGTACACTGGCAATTACATTTCAACGGCCAAGTACAACATCGCTACATTTCTACCCAAATTTCTCTTTGAACAATTTTCCAAGGTTGCAAACATCTTCTTCTTGTTCACAGCCGCTTTGCAACAGATTCCCGGTCTTTCGCCCACGAACAAATATACGACAATCGGACCATTGGCCATTGTGCTCTTGGTCTCCGCTATTAAGGAGTTGGTGGAGGATTATCGAAGACGAACGGCGGATAATGCTCTTAATACTTCTCTGGCGCGAGTTCTACGTGGTTCAAATTTTACGGAAACGAAATGGAATGCTGTGACAGTTGGCGATGTAGTTAGAGTCGAGTCTGAGGAGCCTTTTCCGGCCGATCTGGTTCTCCTGGCAAGTTCCGAGCCCGAAGGTCTCTGTTATATCGAAACAGCAAACCTGGACGGCGAGACCAACTTGAAGATTAAGCAAGCTCTCCCGGAGACTTCGACAATGGTATCCCCTAGCGAGCTGAGCCGACTAGGCGGGCGCATCAAGTCGGAACAGCCCAACAGCAGCCTGTACACGTACGAAGCGACATTGACGATGCAAGCAGGTGGAGGAGAGAAGGAGCTCGCGTTGAATCCTGAGCAGCTACTCCTCCGAGGCGCCACTTTGCGAAATACCCCATGGATCCATGGCATCGTCGTTTTCACTGGCCACGAAACTAAGCTAATGCGAAACGCCACAGCGACGCCAATTAAGCGGACCAAGGTCGAGAGACAGCTCAACTGGCTCGTGCTCATGCTAGTCGGAATGCTGTTGGTACTTAGCCTCATCTGTACCATTGGCGACTTGATTATGCGCGGCGCTACGGGCGACTCGCTTTCATATCTGTACCTGGATAAAATCAACAGCGCTGGAACTGCAACTGGAGTCTTCTTCAAAGATATGGTTACATATTGGGTGTTGTTCTCTGCCTTGGTCCCCATCTCTCTCTTCGTTAGTATAGAATTGGTCAAATACTGGCATGGTATTCTTATCAATGACGATCTTGACATGTACTACGATAAGAATGATACGCCGGCTACCTGCCGAACGTCGAGTTTGGTTGAGGAGCTTGGCATGGTTGAGTATGTATTCTCAGACAAGACTGGTACGCTTACCTGCAACCAGATGGAGTTCAAACAATGCTCTATTGGTGGCATTATGTATGCCGAAGAGGTTCCTGAAGACCGCCGATCGACTGGTATGGACGACGAAGAGTCTGCTATCTTTGATTTCAAGGCGCTCCGAGCCAATCTGGAAGGAGGCCATGAGACTGCGGGAATGATTGATCATTTCCTTGCCCTGCTAGCCACTTGCCACACGGTTATCCCCGAAATGGACGAGAAAGGACAGGTTAAATACCAAGCAGCCTCCCCCGATGAAGGTGCGCTGGTGGCCGGAGCGGTCACCTTGGGTTACAAATTTACTGCTCGAAAACCCAGATCCGTCATTATCGAAGCGAGTGGCCGACCACAGGAATATGAATTACTAGCCGTCTGCGAATTCAACTCGACCCGTAAGCGAATGTCGGCCATCTTCCGCTGTCCGGATGGAAAGGTTCGAATCTACTGCAAGGGTGCCGATACCGTCATTTTGGAACGACTAAACGACCAAAATCCCCATGTTGAAACCACCTTGCGCCACCTGGAAGAGTACGCTTCGGAAGGTCTCAGGACGCTTTGTTTGGCTATGCGCGAAGTTCCGGAGCAGGAGTACCAAGAATGGCGCCAGATCTTCGACACGGCAGCGACGACTGTGGGCGGTAACCGAGCTGAAGAGCTGGACAAGGCTGCTGAAATTATTGAACATGACTTTTACCTTCTTGGCGCCACTGCTATCGAAGATCGTCTCCAAGATGGCGTACCAGAGACCATTCACACCCTTCAGCAGGCCAACATCAAGGTCTGGGTTTTGACCGGAGATCGACAGGAAACGGCCATCAATATCGGCATGAGTTGCAAGCTTCTCAGCGAAGACATGATGCTCCTGATTGTCAACGAAGAGACAGCCGCTGCAACCCGTGACAATATCCAGAAGAAGCTCGATGCCATTAGAACTCAAGGCGATGGTACCATTGAAATGGAGTCCCTCGCCCTCATCATTGACGGCAAGTCTCTCACCTATGCTCTTGAAAAGGGCTTAGACAAGCTCTTCCTCGATCTCGCCATCATGTGCAAAGCAGTCATCTGTTGCCGTGTGTCGCCTTTACAAAAAGCGTTGGTTGTCAAGCTGGTCAAGAAGCATCGGAAGCAGTCAATTCTTCTCGCTATTGGTGACGGAGCAAACGACGTTTCCATGATCCAGGCAGCACACATTGGTGTCGGTATTAGCGGTGAAGAAGGTCTACAAGCTGCACGAAGTGCAGACGTGGCTATTGCTCAGTTTAGGTATTTACGAAAGCTGCTGCTCGTTCACGGGGCTTGGAGCTACCAGCGAGTGAGCAAGACGATCCTGTTTTCCTTTTACAAGAACATCGCACTATACTTGACGCAGTTTTGGTATACGTTCCAGAATGTTTTCTCCGGCCAAGTTATTTACGAATCATGGACTTTGTCTTTCTACAACGTCTTCTTTACGTTTTTCCCGCCGCTTGCCATTGGTATCCTGGATCAGTTCATCTCTGCGCGGTTGCTTGATCGCTACCCTCAGCTCTATATGATGGGCCAGCAAAACTCTGCCTTCAAGCTCAAAGTTTTTGCGCAATGGATTGTCAACGCTGTGTATCATTCCCTCGTCCTCTACATCTTTGCCGAGTTGATCTGGTACAGCGATGTGATTGACAACCAGGGACAGACTGACGGTCACTGGGTGTGGGGCACGGCTCTGTACGGGGCTGTCCTCCTTACGGTCCTGGGTAAGGCGGCACTGGTAACGAACAACTGGACCAAGTACCATGTTCTGGCTATCCCGGGCAGCATGGCTGTCTGGTGGGTTTTCATTGCCGTATACGGTACCGTTGCGCCCAAGATCCACATCTCGACCGAGTACTTTGGCGTTATCCCTAAGCTGTACAGCAGCCCAGTCTTCTGGCTCCAAACCTTTGTGCTGGCATGTTTGTGTTTGTCGCGTGATTTTGCCTGGAAGTATGCCAAGCGAATGTACTTCCCACAGACGTACCACCACATTCAGGAGATTCAAAAGTATAATATTCAGGACTACCGGCCTAGGTATGTACACAATCCCCTTTACCCCCCGCCCTCCTTTAATCTACTATTTGAAACTTGACAAGGTAGAGAGAGAGAGAGAGACGTGATAATTCTCTAACATTTCACTTAATAGGATGGAACAATTTCAAAAGGCTATCCGCAAGGTTCGGCAGGTGCAGCGTATGCGTAAGCAGCGTGGCTATGCCTTTTCGCAGGCCGATGAGAGTCAGACGCGCGTGCTTCAGGCATATGATACGACAAAGCACCGAGGACGATATGGAGAAATGGAGAGCTCAAGACCAATAGACGGGATATAAAAAAATTAGTTGTTTTAGGATGGTTGTAATGATTTTTTTTTCCTCTTCATGTCATGTCAAAATAAAGGAGTGAGTGTGCTTTTTTTGGGCGGCGGAGTGAGAGGGAATAAGGGTGGCATGGGCGGTAGCCACGTTCGATGACTGAAGCCAGATGGGGGCTATGATTGCTTTTTTTGTCTCTCTATTAGCTATTATGCCATATATGATGACTTCTTTCCTCCAAAATCCTGGTTCTGGTTGGTTTTGTTTTTTCTGGATTTTGTTTTGTGTAACTCGGCTTGGCATGTGCTACGTGTGGGTGGGGAGGCGAACGAAGTAGTGGAACTAAAAGGGTGGTTGTACGGGGTTGGGATTATGTTACTTAATTTTTGTGGTTTGTGGCCATGTTGAGAAGAACAAAGAGTATTATTAGTTGATTGCAAGTGGGATAATGAGGTGTGTTATAATGACAAAGTTTTGACTCAATCTTGAGATATGATCTCGAACTGCATCTTCGGATAAAGTCTGAGTTGTCGGCGTGATTTGAGTCTTAAGATAGGCTGTGGATATGTCGGATATTATCCTTTCAATGTCTATAGTTGAGGAGAGAGTGGCATGTTGTGCTTGTCTCACTATTTCCAAACAACTATATCAAATACAAGTTCTTTGTTCTCTTTATTCGGAATAGCAAGTTACACAATTGACGTATTACAAGGAAAGTAGCATTAACGACGATTTGGATATATATAACAAAACATGCCAGCATTCAATTGTTAACTTCAAAATGACAGGACTAGTATTGCCACTTACGATCTACTGTCTTCTCCGTAGCATACGATATCTCCTGTATGACAACTGCTCGTTCTGACGCAATACACATACTATCAATCAAGTTTTACCGCATTCTCAATTTGCCTCTATCAAGTTTGGGTAACCAGACGTTACACTTATAATCCTTTTTTTTTTTTTCACTAATCTATCGCGTTATACAGCTTTTCGCTAGCCGCCGTTTTTATTCTTCTCTGTTGTACAACTGTTACGCCTCCAATACTTTTGCGCCACAAATGCTGTGTCACACGGGCACAAACACAGGCATACTACTCCCGTATAAAGCTCCATATCTAGCCTTACTTTTTGTAATATGCATGCAATCAATTAATCAATGCTGTTGCATCATATTTTTTACAAAGGAAAAAAAAAACATGTGGTTAACTTATTCTAGAACTGGGACTAGAGTAGTGCTACGCCGTACTTTGTGTGTTTTGAGGACGGGTTAACAAAGGTGAAACGTCACCTAAAAAAAAAAAAAAAAGAAAAAAAAAAAAGAAAAGAGGCGAATTTGAGAGAATTGCTATGTGTTGCCTGATATAGAAAGAAAGCATCAAAGTCTGAGGCTGGGTTATTGGATTTCGTAGTAAAGCTCTGGAAGCAGCTCATTCCAACTGTTTATTCATACCCAGCTCCTCTGCTTAGCAACTCGTATTATGTATTCATGTACTTGCGGACTTTTTGCTTTTTCGCAGAGATTAATTACACAAGTTGTGAAAAAAAAAAAAAAAAAAAAAAAGGAAAATAAACTAGATCTATTCGCGTCTCTCTTCTACGACACAACATTCGTATAACACACCTATCCCTGTTCGCCACCTCCACACATGACACAACAAGATGCTCGTAATCATTAGTAACACCACCTTTACGCAGAGATAAAAAAAACCAAAGTTTAAAAAAATTATAAAAATCTAAAAGAAAAAAAAAAAAAAATAAGGAACACAAGAGCACAACTTATCGGTTGTGGGGTAAGAAAAGCATGATCGCGGTGCTTGCAGCTTGTGTGACCGCCTGAGAGTGAGACATGGCGCCGCCACCCTGATAAGGACTTGGACGTGTCTAAGGTACGAGATACACTGTGCTGGGTTGGGTAATGCAGATTCGAATCTATAATTCGTTAGATATGGACTCGTAACAGAAATAGAGTTGGACAATCAGAATATTCGCCGACATCGCTGATACGCTGAATCTCAAAATCAAAGTTCATTCAGATAAGTGTAATATTATTATGGATTTTTTTTATTTCAATTAATCTTTCATTTATTCATGGGTTCTGTCTTATCCCCCAATAGATGTTTCATCATGCCATGCAAATCTTGCTACTTTTTTCTTGTCCAAATTATATATAAAGGAAAAAAAAAACGCCGTCCATTAAATAGCCACACCATATTTTATATCTATCCCATCTTATATATCATTCATTTTTGTGCCCAGAGGCGATAAAAAAATCTTTGTAAAACAAAAAGGAGGAGGAGAGAGATAGAGGAAAGATAAGAGGTAAGGGAGATATGTTAGAGTTGGGAAGATAAAGAGTCGTAGATAAGAGTCGGAAAGCGGAGCGACACCCTGGATGGACGTCGGCCGCATATGTGGTGGAAGGTGACGGTGAAAGCGGCTGATAAGAGAATTGGGGAATATTGACTGAGAATGGGAAAAAAAGCGCTGTGAGGGGGATAAATCGAAGCCGTCCAAAGTTGGTAAAAGGCTCCGAGAGGCGACCCCTCCATTCGTTGGCGGTAATAAGCAAAAATAAAACTAGTAGTGGTAGTAATAAGAATGGGTAAAAGCGAAAATGGTAATATCAAACTTTTGTCTCGTCTCCCTGAAAAAAAAAAAAAAAAGAACGCCCGAAAATGAGAAACAATGACGACAGCTGCTCAGGAAACCCGGGCCAGAGCAGCCCGTGGGGGAGGCCAGCAGCATAAGCACAGGCAAAGGGGCCGAGATGCTCGGATAGACCGTTGTGTGCATGTCAGTTGATGGTGGTGAGACCCCCCTTGCCGGCTGGAACACGAATCCCTGTCAACCCCGCAAACGTCGGCTTGCTCCTTCTGAGCAAATGCGGAGAGGCGCGGTGAGAGCTGCAGCGCTATGGCAACATCTGTCAACAAGAGCGGTGGCTAAGCTGCGCCAGTCCCATCCACCATCCACGCTGCTGCTGCTAGCCGCTATGCCGTCCGCAAGGGGGAGGAGGAGGAGCAGCGCTAAGGAAGCTCCCCAACACACCAGTGCGTCCGAAATCACCGAGAAAACATGGGGACTAGCAGCTCGATGCTCTTTGGCCGAGAGCTGGAGCTGCTGCCAGGGTTTCGCGGTGGTAGTGGTCGCTCCATGCCTCCAGATGCAGCTTCGTGCGAGTAGGCACTACCGTAGCCCAGGTCGTACGTGTGGCCGGATGAGTGTCGCGTGTACGAGTTGTTGGGGCTGGTGGCCGAGCTGCGGCTGAAGGGCCAGATGCCACTCCCTGTGGGTGAGGTAGGGCTGGGCGGCCTCATGCTAAGCGATCGCAGAGCAGACATGGCGGAGGTGTGGTAGTTGAGGGTGCTGCCTGGCGTTGCTGGCGGGGAGTTGCTGAAGTGCATGGAGCTGGGCCTCGACGGCGATGCTCGCGGCACAATATCACGGGGCTCGGGCTTTTCAAGAGTGTAGTGAGGCTGGGTAGTATGCGCGGCACTGAAGTAGCTGTGAATGGAAGACGGTTGCTGCAAAGACGAGTCTTGATCGCTCCAGCGGCATCTAGAAACAAAGATTGTCAGTACGTGTAACTTGAATCAAGGGGCAAAGTGAGAGTTCAACATACGTCTCGGAGCAGTATAACATCTCGCCGTGGGGGATAAATTGCTTTTCGCAGGTCATGCTGTAATAAAAAGTTGGAGTCAGTAAATGTTCCGCAGCATCGCTCACAAGGAGAGGCTTCCTTACCAAAACTGAGGAAAGCTCTCCCTCTCGTTATCATACACCTCGGTGTATTCCCGGTTGCCTCGTCCCAGCTTTTGGGCACTGGATGGAGTGTGTCGTCGGGTCATGACTGGTCGCTTGTATTGCGCAGGAGTTGCAGTAACAGTCTTTCGTACGTCTGTTGTAGACGAGTGGGTAGTGTAAGGTCCCGACTTTCGTCGCTGATGAGGCATTATAAATGGCAAAGCTACCAGGTCTGATGTAGCAGAAGCGCGTAGGTTGAAGTTGTTATCCTGGTAGTTCGTAGAAGTGAATGGAACCACCAGGACTGTCTAGCCAGAGAGATAACCAAGGCTTGGGAAGCTGACCAAATCCGACAGGCTGCCGTAGGGCTGTGTTGTGTGACGAGTCGTATTTTGAACAGCACGAATATGTGAACGGGTCGTAATTTTTAGGGAGGCGGTTTGTTCACATGCGTGATGGAGAAGTCAATGACCGTGTGCCTCCTGCAACAAGACGGTGGATTGGCTGAAGTCACACTCAAGGAGGGTGCGTTGATCGACAGGATCCGGTAGATGGAAGGATGGAGGATGGTGCAGATCGATTCGTCAGACAGACAATGGATATCCACTTTGGAGCTCAGTTGACAGAATCAGGGTGTTGACTTGTGTTCGCTCAAGCACCAAATATAGTAGTGGTGGTGATGGGTCGCAATGGTATCGCCAGTCAGATGATGAGCACCCAGTAGCGCTGGTTGTAGGTGTAGGTGGGTGAGATAAAGGGCGGGCTTGGTGTAAGTGGCACGGGATTCCGAAATTAGCGGTGCCGAATTGAGGCGGAGCGGCTGTTGGCGGGATCGAGAATTGCGAGAGGAAGCAGAAGAGGCAGACCAAAGGAGATGGAAGAAAGAACAAGGGAGATGGAAGAAAGAAATAAGAAAAGGGTGAGTGACTCGGTTTGGGATGTCGTGATTTGATTAATAGACAGCAGCCGAAAGCGGAGACCGGCGAGCGAAGGTTTCGAGGTACCGAAAATACAGCGGTGGTGACACACTGTCGACGCCCGGCTCCACAATGTCGCGATATAGTACCAGGCAACGATGACTCTGATTTTGTGGGCTCGTTTTGTCTGCCTGTGTAAAGTTTTTTTTTTTCTGGGACAGGACAAAGTAGATTTTGGCCTTTCTTGTGCCGTTTGCTCTTGGTTGAAATGTGGGCACGGAAGGCGATGGAATGATTGGCGGCCTTGACGAGCCTGGCGAGGGACAGCGAAGGATGGTAGGGCTGGGCTCGCTTGCAGCAACTTGTAAGACGGGCTGGCAGCTTATTTGGCTGTGAAAGGCGGGCAAAGCTGACGGTTGCTTATTAGCCGGCTTTTGGACAGCCGTGCTGGCACAAAACAAGGCTTTGGAGAATATGAGACGCGAATGATGTGCTCGCTGCAAAAGAGTTGACGTGATAAGGTGGCACGATTGAGTAGCGGGCAGGCCTCACACAGGCAGGGAAGACTCTGCCTTACACGCCGTTTTTGAAAGAATGGGCAGAGAAGATCAAGCAAGCGAGCGAGCGTTTTAGCAAAGCAAGAGAAGCAGGAGATTCGAAGCCGCAGCACCCGTATCCGGGGACGCTGACGAATATTTAACATTTACCATTCCCGGCAGCTCTCCTTGGCCTTGACTGCTGCCAGGCACGGGTGGAGGCCAATGGGCAGCAGCAGCGCGTCCCCGTCGACCGCATGCAGTGCATCGCAAGCGCAGTTTGCAGGCATCTTGGGATGGCGCCGATGCGAAGCTAATGGAGGGACAAGGCCTTGGCTCCGAGATTGTGTGCGGCGCCTTTTGTGGCGATCGACGGAACGGGGCCATGGACAGCCTGGGGGGGACCTCCTCGTACCGGTACATGGTCCATACAAGCCATTTATGCTGGCAGTGCGGCCCTCCGCCAGCAATGCGTCCCGCCCGCGTCGACGACAAGGTCGCATTGCGGTATCTGCACCGGTGGAGCAGGCTTGCGTTGGCACGCAGCGGCGGTACCGGGTACTCCATGCAGACAATTGGGCAGGTCTGCCGCTGGACTGGCCATCAAGGCACCAGCTGTGCCCCGAGTTCCGTTTCGCTGCGCTGCTGGTCGCTGTACTTGAACACCTGCAACGGCGGCGCTGGATGGGCGATCCTCCAAGCCCGCCTCTTTGCGCAGCCATTAGCTTCCAGCAGACAATTCAAAGCGGATGCCCTTTACGGCGCTGCATTGCATTCCTATTCAAACATCTTGTTTCAATGTTTCAGATAAAAATTTTCTCTTCCCTGCGAGAGCGTTTGGTACCTGCGCACAAAGTCAAAGTTAAAAATTAAAATAAAAAAGTGAAACAGGACAAAAAACCTTCAGTCATGCATATCCATGACAGGCTGTCCATGTACCTATCATCACCCCCCCCCCCCCCC